ATCAACACTAATTAAGGGAAAAGTGATCTTCTGATACTTTATTTAAAGTTCAAAAAGTTATGTGGCCAGTATTTTGGAAACCCTATAATTATGGACATGTTAACTTTACTTTGTCCAGCTCAAACATGCAAAAATATCGCTCTGGCTTGACTTAGTGGTTCACCAATATTCATAGGATCGCTAATGGAAGAGCTATTGAGGATCGAGTCAATGAATTTAAGTTGAGATTTTTACAACTAATGACATAAGACAGCAAATGGGACAATGCAAAGAGGACAGAAATAATCATAGATGATGACAGGATAAAAACACAAAAACATGTTGTAGAACTGCAAACCAGTATGTAGTCCAACTCTGCCCACATCTGTAACTTGTTGATAATATACTTTCTGCCACGCTGACATGTCGCATTTCAGTATGACCTGGGATTTTCCAGGAAGGAATTTTTCTACTTCATCTTTCTTTCTCCTTAATATGAATGGCCTTATAACCTGAGAAATTAGCAAATACATTCAGATAAGTAATTCCAAGATAACAACAAGGGTTTTAAACTATGGACTACTAAGGACTCATAACGCAACACTAACATGATGCAAACGTCGAATAATCAACAGCTCTTCTTCATCAGTGAGAGAAACATCACCACGATCCGCAAAAGGAGCATTAAACCACTCCTCAAAATTCTGGACAGAATTAAAAATATTTGGAAGAAGAAAATTAAGCAATGACCAAAGTTCCTGCAAGCTATTCTGTATCGGTGTCCCAGTTAACAAAAGTCTACGTTGAATCCTGTAGCTGCATACAGACAGCATTAGATTAGAAAAAGATCAGTATTTTCATATGAAGACACATGAACATTACAAGAACACTATGAGTAAGCTAATTGGAAAAGTCATGCATGCAAGACTAATATAATGGTGCTTTAAGTGATATACAAAAAAGTCACATTGAAAATATAATACAGTAATTTGAATTTGGATTATGCTCCAAGAAATATTTTATATGTAAAAGAAGTTATCATTCGTTCGGGTATTATCACTGGAAAGAGGGATCTGATTGCAATGACCTATACTATGGGGAAAAAAAGACATGAATCTTTCCAAAGTAGCAGACCCTCAAGGTTAATGTCAGAAAGTTTAATATTCTTAACCCACTCAGTGTTGATTCCAAAGGTCCTTGTAATAAGAGCAGATCAATCCAGGTAACTAAAAGACTTCATTACATATCAATCCAGGTTACTAAAAGATTAATCAACTATCCTAAAAGCGCATGGAAAAATGTTAGAAAAGGACAATGAAATTTTGATAACCGAATCAGTGTTTCTTATACTTATTCTCAAATCTGACTAACATTTTGAAATTTTTTTAAAAAAAAAAAGAATACAAAAGAAAAAGAAAATCCCAATATTTGATTTCTTTATTAAAAAACAGTACAATTAGAAAGAAATAAAAAGCTTACAACCAAAAGGACAATAAGCTTTCCTCCAAAAGTAAAAGAAACGAAGTAAGAGCTCTTGTCCTACAAGATAGTAACTCAAATCTCTGTTGCATGGACAAAAGAAAACACCCTACAGAAACAAACTTACTCTCCAACCACTCTCTCCAAAATTTCAGCAAACCAATGGAACCTTTGCTTATATTCTCACAACCAAAGGGTCCATAAGCCAGCAAGATTAACCCCTTCAAAGCATCTTCTTATCCTTACTCCACCCAAAACCAAGTCAGGAGGAGATACCCAAGAAATACAGAAAGAGACATCCCACAATGAAGAAACACATGATTTTTTTTAAAAAAAAATAGAAGAAACAGATGACTGTTATACACCGAAAGCACACATCAAAACAAGCATAGGAAGAAAGCACTTCTTGAGATGTGCAAGTCTCAAGCAAGTATTAGTGCCAATCCTCTTTAGAATTGTTGCCCACAGGAAGATTCTCATCTAAGACAGAGGTTTCACCACCAAAAAGGACAAAATTATGAAACTTTTTCTGGTAGAACAATGTGCTAAAAACTGAAAAACTTATTTGCAAGTACAAGCTCCCCAAGAGTCAATAGACCATAATTGGAATTAAGGCTAGAAGTGCGAAATGGAGTCCGACAAACTAATCAAAATGCAAATGATATAACCAATCAATATGTCCTTTATGGCCATATATTTTATTATCTAGGAGGAAATATGCTTTTCTTTTCCTGTGTAAGTAGCTAAGGGATTTTCTCTGACTTTCTTTTTATGAAAAAGAAATATTATCAGAGAAAAGCTACAAGAAATGTTCCTAAGCCAAAAAAAAGGAAAAAGAAATTATTTCAAAAAGAAAAGGAAATAAAAAGAAAAATCACAAAAAATCAATACAATGTTGCAACATAATCCCTTTCCAATATAAGCCAAAGCAACTCCATGATCCTTAGCCCACAAAGACAAAAAGAAAACATTTTGTCCGAGAGATGAGGCAAAAGGAAGTAAACGTCCTAGAAGATTGTGCTCCAATCACAACACTCATTATATGGAAGTAGGGCCGGGAAGAAAGAGTTCAACAAAGTAATCAAAATACAGATGGTATTACTTTTTTTAGATAAAACGTGTACGTATTAATATGAGTGCCAAGGGGGTGCTATCCATTTACAACATTTACAAATCTATTAGCATATCAACAAGTTCCACAAAATGCAGATGATATCATTATTAAATATGTTTCCTCATGTCAACATTTTTAATTGTCTAACAAGAATTATCCTCACTAAGGCTTTTGCTGTCATCGAATACGTAAGTAATAGCGCGTTTGCCAATGTTCCTTCTATTCAATACATAATGATTGATTAATTCAATCAATTCATTGATGGTCAGCAAGTATGGTTCTAATAGTGATGACATCAATTCTAATGATTCACAGTCATTCAGAATTTTAAAAACAAAAAGGTTCCACCATATGCAACCATCATGCAACCATCATGGAGGTTCAAGTAGGAAGTGACGAGAACACTATGCCTTGTAGAAAGTCTGTAAAGCAGGGGAAGCCATGAAGGGAGGGCTTCCTCAACAGAATCATCTACATGTCCAATGGGTTATCGGGGTAATTGTCCCAGTTTCATTATCCCAACTATTCTGGTGAAGAGCAGACTTACTCTTTGTCACTCTATGCCTCAATGAACTAGGTTCCAACTAAAACTACCATAATCACTTAGCCTTCAGAACAAGATTTTTGGATGCTAGATCCCAATACTTAGCAGCCTCCTTGGAGAGACAATACACCTCCTTAGAAAGTCTTTGATAATTCTGTTAAAATCTCCAACTTCAGAACAAGATTTTTGGATGCTAGATCCCAATACTTAGCAGCCTCCTTGGAGAGACAATACACCTCCTTAGAAAGTCTTTGATAATTCTGTTAAAATCTCCAACAAAATCCTAAACTGGGAGAAATAATAAAACGGAATACCAAATAGACATGCCTATTACAAAGTGACCCTAACCTCCTAAGAAGTAATGCCCCTTTCCAAGTGTTTGAATGTTTGGAAATCTTCCCCGCTACGGGATCCCAAAAATAATAGATACAGGATTATCCCCAGTGACACCCCGAAGTAAAATGTAGGTCACTCCAAATACTAAGATATATTAGATTGACTAGATTCCTTATAAGATTCATGATACTATGATACCAATTTTATCCAAATTGATACTCAAATTGGATATCACCTCAAAAATCTGCAAAACTAATATGCAATTGAGGATTTATTCTAGTCTTGGGACAAGAAAAGAATGATATCACCTATAAATTGCAAGCAAGAAACCTCAAGAACCTCATCTACCACAAAGAGATCCATGAATAATCATTTGCCAATCCTTGTAGTTAGCACCTTGCTAAAGGAATCTACTACTAGAGTGAATACGAAGTGTCCCCTCGTTTAACCCCTCTTTGACCTTTAAACTATATTTTTCATTACTTGGTAATAATAATAAAGTAGTGATAGATAAGTATCATAGTGCTTTGGGGCCAAAAACCACTATCCCAAGCTCAAACCACTGGCTTTCAAAAATTCAAATTCAAATTATTAATAAGATCTTACTTGTGTCTTTATATAGAGTTCAATTTTTTTTTTGAGATATATATAGAGTTCAACAATGACATATCTTTCCAACATGAGATTAGGGTAAGACATTCTATCAGTAAAATGAATGATGTCTTCATGAAATCACATATCA